TAGGAACTATAGTTTTGGATTTCCATTACTGTATTTTACTATGATTTCCTGTAGGCACCATACGGATGAAGTGGAACTTTTATTCCAATTGCTGAGAGTGTTTGATAACCGTTTCCTGCCTAATTTCCACTTCTTTAAAGAATTTCTAGAGAGAGACGTGGCACAGGTAAACAAATTTTTGCTAACTGAATTGATGATAACTCATCTATTCCACAGAATGCTGTGGATAACATACGGAATGTAGCTGTCAGTGTCAGTGTTTAATGTTGTAATGCATTTAATGTGTTTTCATTGACAATTTTTGGCAAGAAAAGGCCTCAATAACTTTTAACTTCAATTTATTCCTTCTTAAACAGGGTTATAGTATAGAGCAAAAGAGAGCTGTATTTTTTAAGTTTGTTGATTTGTTCCGTGACCAGACGTTCACTCAGGTGCTGAAGGCCAAGGCGTTACAGTACGTCATCATACCAATGTTTTCGGCTTCATTTGATAAAGGAGATGGAGAGAAGGTAAGAGAGTCATTCCGAAGATGCTAAAAACTTGATCACAGCCAAATCGTAAGTAGTCGGTAATGTTTGGCTATTTGCAAACAATTTCCGACCCAGATATCTTGTGAATAGCGCAATTATTGCATGTGGTATATGTCACCTACTCATTCATACGTCAAATAAAATAACATACCAGATAATACAGTGAAAATAAATAATTCATTTCAAGGAATACCAAAATAATGCTCAAGTCAATCTTCTCGTTCATACTGACAGTTAATTGGTGGTCCTCCTAATCCCGGACAAGACAGTAATGACAATATCATTAGTATATTTATAAGTCGTCTAATTGATCCCGAGAATCCGTACGGCATGTCAGACGCCGTTCGCATATTATTACTACAATTCTCAGCCTTACTTGTTGAGAACGCTGCTCCCCACATTCACGATGCTGCCGACAAGTAAGTTTTACAATCATTTCGTAATTTCACTGATTGGGTGTCTTTGCTTCTTGTCTTGTTTTGTCAACTTGCATGCATGGTTATCATAGCCGCTTACTTGTCTGTACACGTGTGTAAATCGAAATGTATTAAAAGTCATAGGCTCTGCACTATTGCTCTTATCTGTGGATATTTACTTTTAATACTGGTAGTCATTGTATTGTTAGTAGTGTTGTATATTAATGCGTGTCTATGTGACATTAAATTCTGTCAGTGTCTACGTATATATTACTAGAGTGCAATTAAACAAAGATGTCTTTTTTATTTGAATTGTCCATTGAAAAAAATGATTAGATATTACTTTGTAACTTGCAGTTAAATTTTGTGGTACATTTTGTATGAATTGAATATGTTAGTTGAGTGTTATTGCTTAATTAAAGATTGGATATATAGGCTGCAGTGTTATTACTGTTCTTGTTAATTTAACGTAGTACAGATTATTTTGTCAGAATTGTGTTCAAATAGAAAAGATTGTTGAAACTGAATGTATTTCATGTGGTGCATCAGGTGAATGACAACGTTCGTAATTGCGCAAAATAATTCACCGCTGCACTCACATGTGTGTTGTATTAGTAAGGTTGAAGAAGTTACCCTCTGAAAAGATATATACAAAAGTCATGTATTTGAAATCGCTGAGACTAAATCGGTGAAATCGAATAGTAACTGAAAAGAACAGTTGTATATTTTTGACTTTCATCTTTCTGTCTTCTATCATTTAGCCATGGTGTTCTATCATCTCCTTGCATGGAATCCACCCTCCCACAAAACATCCGCTTACGCTAAATCTGTACACCTCGCGTGGGTGGGTACACAGGTGTTCTTCGACCTTACTGTTGTGTTCTTTTTTCACCCATATATTATGCCAATCTCCATACTCAACTAAAGTTTGCTTATTAATTTCACTTTAAATAAAAAAAGTGATAAATCTAATTCCAGGAAGCAGGGCAACAAATTGCGGCGTCTCATGACGTTTGCATGGCCCTGTCTGATACCTAAGAACTGTGTTGATCCCGCCACCAAGTACCACGGACATCTGCTCTTGTCGCATATCATCGCTAAATTTGCAATACATAAGAGGATTGTGCTGCAGGTAAGATCTTTCCTTCGTTGTTTCACATAATATGGTCTTGAAAACTGTTTTCAAACAACCAACATTTGTTACGAATTACATACAGTGTATGTTTAAAATTCGAAATCACAGTAATGGATTCATACTTAAGTTGAGTTCTCTAGTTTTTCATGTGTATGTCTCACACTGCAACAGTGTTGTTTCTGAATGACATCCAAAATATTGTTTATTATGTTTGATAAATTATAAGGGCATGTGCTTACACAAAATGACAGCGATGTGTCTATCCTCGAAATAAATTAGAGATGTACTGTAAAATACTTTATTTTCGCTTTGAATTAATTTTCACTATTTTCGCTGAAAATAAAATACAGCGAATAACCTTTTTTCCTATATTTTACAT